GACCCTAACTACAATTCTCTTATTTCAGCTCACGGATTTGTGGGGAAAAAAAAACTAAAAGCGAAAAATTTGCCAACAACTCTATGAGCCTCGCCGGACGGTGGCCCAAACAAAAAAAAAATAAGAATTTGTTTCGTGAAGGCGCTGCTGCACATCACTAACGCGATTCCTGTCAGGAGCAACACGCAAATTTTGTAAGAAAACGGGTTCGTGAGGAAAATGCATGGGCGACTGCCGCCCAGCCTGCAAAACGCACGAACCGATAAGTCCTCGACGAGGATGGTGGAGGTCCTATGGGTCCTCGTGAGTGTGCCAATAATGTTCACCCGGTGTCCATTCAAATTTTGGACTGTAGCGCTTGCCAGGTTTCACGAGCATGGAGAGAAGCACATTATTCCTCGTGGATGCATTTGTCCATTTGCTGACCCCAAAGGATCAGGCGGTCCACCACCATCCGTCCTTAGGTGTGGGTGACCCGTGTTGGCCGGTACCTCACGCCACTGCGTTCAGGAAAGGTATGGGACCCTTGAGAGTAAACTGCCCACCACCACACAACACGAACGAAACCCGCACTGGTCAGAGTATTGCTGCGTGGATATTCACTTGTGCTATGCGGCGGTGATAACTGAGACGACCCGAAACACTGAAATATGGCCTCGTGAGCCCTCGCAAGTTAGGAGGACGTTTCATTTCATTTTTCTTACTGTCCTGTGAGGCCCTACTATAGGTGGTCGCAAACCTGCTGCCTTGGAGGCTGACATTTGCTTCACCAATTGCAAATCTAACTATCAGGCGGGCAAGGTGGTACTACCAAACCATGACAAATTTTGCAATCTTGCGAAAAACAAACCTAGTGTGAGTAAGTCATCACACCATACTGTTTTCAACTTGGTTTGTGACGTTCTAACTTCACGCCAAGTCCTGTCTTTCAGTCGGAGTGATAATTTGTGTGGAATAGGCCCTAAAGGACAAAAAAATGGGGTGTGCCAAAGTTTTTCGGGAATATTTAGTGTGGGGTCACGGATGGAACTGAAAGCCCCCGTGAGATTCCAATTTTTTTAGGAAGGACCATGGTCGTGAGGGAAAGAAATGGCGAGTGGCACTCTCAAATGTTCACTCAATCCAAAAAGTATCTATGAACTTCCATGCGAGCTACTCGTCGTCTTTTCGAACGGAAAGGCAAGGTTAAACATGCAGGATTTCATTTTCAAATTAAGTCTCAACGATGTTCGCTACAAAGTTTGGAATCCGACATGGATGGTCTTAGCCTGGTCGCTCTTTCCCTCTATTCGTCGTCGCCATGTGTTCAGTAGCGGAACCACTCTCGATAATGCTTGGTGCGGCGACAATCGTTGCACAAAGTGTTGGGTCAGTGGGACACTACTCTCGTCTGCGGGATGACAATCAGTTTGTTAAAACGCAATAACAAAGAGTACGGGGAAAAGTGGGCGTTGATAATGACAAAACCAGCACCCACGAACCCCGAACATATGGTTTCGGATGGAAAATAATAGCGTCCGCTGATCTTGGCGACGGCTTCCCCTACGTCCCACTCGCATACATGTAACCTTTCCTCATTATACGAGAATGGTCGCAATGGGGATGCAGGAGTCAACACCCAGTCAGGTTGGGACAATCGGTCCACACGGCACAAAAAAACAATGAGTACGTGAGTCTACCCAATTGGTTGTTCAATCATAAAAGTAAACAATCGCAATGCTATATGCTTTATTGTTTTTCCTCCATCCGGCGAAACGATCAAAACGAAAAGTATAAGTTCAATCCAATCACAACGACAATCATCAGTTATGAAGGCGGCGACAAGCATGCATTCCAATAATCCCAGCGGGATTTTAGCTTAGTTAGCCCAATCGATGCACATGTGTAACAAATTACGCATACATGAATCCTCCGCTGTCCGAGAGACACATCAACAACCGAAAACGAAAACCGATAAAATATTTTGGCGATGTGGGGCTTACTGGTCCACTTGAATTCGACGATGCTTATTCGTGTGAGATTCGATTGAATTCAATAGGAGTGAGCGAGATCAAGAAAAACTCAGGTCATTTTGACATTCATCAGATAAATCAGAGCAAGGGAACGAGAGAAAGAGAAACAAAAAGGGAGACAAAAACGTAGCTTGGCCGAAGAAGAGGACTAAGAAGAGAGGGAGAGAACTCTGGTCATACAAATAATCTTGAGGGGAAGCACCCAACTATTTGCCGTGGACTTAGCTCTTGAGAACCAACAAAGATGAATCCGAAAATCAAGGCGCATCGGCCTTCTCCTCTTTAATAATGGTCCCTGGCCATGCAACCACTTGTTTACACATGCTCTTCTCACTTCGGTACTAACGATCCCGACCAGCACGTACCAGCTTTGCATGAACTTGCCCAGATTCCGCAGCTCGTCGCTGGCGACGTGGGGCTTACTGGTCCACTTGAATTCGACGATGCTCGTTCGTGTGAGATCCGATTGAATTCAATAGGAGTGAGCGAGATCAAGAAAAACTCAGGTCATTTTGACATTCATCAAATAAATAAGAGCAAGGGAACAGGAGAAAGAGAAACAGAAAGGGAGACAAAAACGTAGCTTGGCCGAAGAAGAGGACTAAGAAGAGAGGGAGAGAACTCTGGTCATACAAATAATCTTGAGGGGAAGCACCCAACTATTTGCCGTGGACTTAGCTCTTGAGAACCAACAAAGATGAATCCGAAAATCAAGGCGCATCGGCCTTCTCCTCCTTAATAATGGTCCCTAGTCATGCAACCACTTGTATACACATGCTCTTCTCACTTCGGTACTAACGATCCCGACCAGCACATACCAGCTTTGCATGAACTTGCCCTGATTCCGCAGCTCGTCGCAGCCACCCGGTACACAGCCTTACGTACACTGTCGTAGGCTCGGATCTAGGCAAGTTGCCAAAAACCTGTTTTCTAATTGGCCGCGAAGAGACTCACGGGGATCGAAGATGGCATGGGTCATAACGGGAAGCAGAAAAAGCTTGCATGCATGGCGTCGGTGCAAAAAAAAAAAAAAGTCACCGAAACAGTTACATTGCGTTCATCCGAGTTCTAAAACTATTTCAAGATTGGAAATTTTAAAAGCAACATCAGCGCGTGGAATTGAGTGCACAAAATTCCTACCCCTATCTACCTTCCTACAGAACGCAGATCTTTCAAAGACGTGTGCAGGAATATTCACTTGCAAGAAAGGACACGTCAGCGGGAGGAGCGCTCGTAATTTTCGAAGTTCACAACTGCCGAACAAAATTCCTAGCGTACTCGTTAAGGCCAACATAAAATTTCTAAACTGAAATTATGATTGAAAGTGAAAATTTTAATTGAACTTCAAAACTTTCTTAGTATTGTACAGGTTTTTAATTAAACTTCAAAACTTTCCTGCTAATGTGCAGGTTTCAGTTTTACTTAAAATTCCAGTCACTTGTTGAACACCATTGAAAAATCATTCTTCAACTAAAGAGGGGGTGGGCATTTCTGTTTTGGGTAGTCCTACATTTCTTTTTTGAATAGTTTTTTTCTTTTTCCAAAGGTGCTTATCTGCTGGAACACATTTCCTGCCTAGCAAAAATGACCCATTTTATTTTCTCTTTAGGTTGATCTTGCAGAATACAGTTCCCGCCTCGTAACATGGCCCGCTCATGCTTAGTGGGAAAATGGACGGGATTAGGGTCTAGCGAAAAGAACGGCTAGAAATTGCCAAGAGGTGTAGTGTCCGCCTTTGTGCAAATGATGAGGGCCTGCCTCGGAAGAACGACACACCCGAACGGACCGAAACCGTCAATGGACCTTTCGGACTGACGGCACTCTGAGCAACGACACACTTAGGGAAGGAAAAATTTATGTGAATCCATCACCCTATAAAATACGGCTAGATACAGATAAAAGTGCATAGCCTACTATATGACCAAAATATGGATGTTGCGGGGTAGAGTTTTTTTATCTTTGCCTTGATTTCGGATGAAAGACTGTGTTTTCTCTGTTTGCAGTACGGGGGGTAAGAGTTGCCCCGGTAGCCAGTGCAATTTTTTCGAAGGTTTTGTAGTACTTATTTTTTGGGGGGGGGCTATTGGTGTTGTGTAGGTTGGATGAACATAGCCTGGTTTGGAATTGGCCGAGGATGAATTGTTGCAGTAGAATTGGTTTGTGATGCTGTTTCCTATAGGATTTGAACCCGGACCGTTGTTTTTAGGATTTTTATTAGGGACCGCGTAGGAGCTATCGACTAGGTTCTATGACTTCTCAGTAATTCGGGAAGTTTTTGGAACTCATTCCAATTCCGGATATAAGCAGACAGTCGGAAGTCTTACGGACTTCTCAAAGACCCCTGATGAGTCGTGGTTTGGCGGCCAGGCAAAACCGGTCGGGTCCTACGCCTGCGACTTTGTCGCTTATAACGACTTTGTCGCATCGTGCTTCATGTTTTTTTTTTTAAATTAGTCGCGTTCGTGTTTCCTTCTTTGATGCTTATCCTATACTTTCTTCCATCCTCTTCTCCACGGTTTATGGTTGTTCTGGTCGTCACTACTCGGGTAGTTGCTATCTGCATGTGAATGCTATATTGACTTTCACAAACGAGGTAACAGACGTAGGAATCGTACTACTGTTGAGTGTCCTCGAGCTCAATGGCGATGAATGACAGAAACTTACGTATTGATAATCGAGCATGCTATAACTATTGGCAAGCAGGGCATATTTCCCGTTATTGTCCCCTTCCTGATAGGCGCGTTACTCCGTCTACTAGCACAACTATCATTCCAGCACAACCACTGGTTACTATGCCTGCTGGCAAAAATCCTGTCGGCACGGTCGCTCCTGCGGCTAACTCCTACTCTGTTCCGTTCTCCGGTCAGTACTCGGATAAGGGGTGGTTACACAACCGGGTGGCGACTCTCGAGGATATCGTCGACAAAATCAAGGAGAAACATGATGCAGAAACAGCCAAGGAACTTGCGGCTAAAGAAGAAGAAGAACGAATGAAAAAGGAGAAGGTTGAAGAGGATCGTTGTCTACGAGAGAAACAAGAGAGGGAGGAGTGGCAACTCAAGATGCAGGAGGATTTGAATAGTCGGTGGGAGATGGTTTGTGATAAGATAGATCAGAAGGATAAGGTGAGCAATGAAGTTGCCACACTACGAGAAAAAGTTGCTAGGATGTCAAGCAAGAAAGAGGCGGCCAAACCGTCATCATCCGTGGCTAAACCAGTATCCAGGGATGACGTTGTCGAAAGGCTGAAGCGGGAGCACGAGGATCTGAGAGCAGTGGCAGATCAGCGATTTGTTTTGCTGGAGGAGAGACTCTTGGAGTTGACTAAAGTTAAAGAAGAAGCGGAGGCTAGCGCCGAGTTATGGAAAGCCGAAGCACTCCGCCCTGGGAACAAGAGGGGGAGTATTGCGGTTGGTCAAACTCCTGTTTCCCACGTGAGGGTACGACAGCGTAGTACACCGGCTACCTTGCCAACTGAGCCTCGAGTCAATCAGCAGTTCAAGGGCATTGTGGTGCGTCATAACATGGAGGTCAATCTCTTGAAAAAACTGCGTTTGAAGGATGTCAACGAGCGGCTTGATGTAGAGAAGGAGGTTAAAAGGCTTAAAGAAGTCATGGCCAAGCTCGAAATGGAGAAAGAACGAGGAAGCAATCTGCAGAGTCGATTGGACGAGGTGGCTGGTCCTTCTGCCAAGAAAGTAGGTTGCTCTTCGGTGAAGAAGAAAAGTGTGGATACCTCGAGGGAACAGGTGAATGAGTGAGAAGCTTTCGTGTGTGCGGCCAGGAAGCAAATGAAGAAACTGAATAAGGAGCAGGTGCTGAAGATTTGTGGCAAGGAGGGGATTGCGTACACTAAGTTGGAACAAACTAAGGAGAAAATTATTTGTCAGAGAGTGGCACATGCGTTTGATGAGGCGAAAGGTAAGGGAGCAGTCGTGTCTGTGGTTGAGGTTACCGAGGAGGTAAGCGAAGACTTAGGGTGCAATGACAGGCAAGACACTGCTACTTCTTAGTGTCCTGCCCGAGCGGGACGCAGCTATAGAATTTTGTTCGTTTCCTTTGTAAGCTCAGGTCGTTCTCACACCGTTTGCTGCGGGATAAGACTGTGAATCTTCTGTTGAGCTTTGTGTTGTGCCTCTTGATCGTTCTGGGAGAGATTCCGTGAGGAGTCCAACTTATTTCGTTTATTTTGGATTATCTGACGAATGAGGGATGTGGGGAGAGTAAATGGAAGGGTCCGTTAGTTTATGTTTTTTTCTCTCCATGGGTCCGTTAGTTTATGTTATTTTCTCTCCATGGTGTAAAGATCTCTATATTGGAAGTACGAAAAGAGACTTACCCACCAGGTGGGGAGAGCACGTTTATCGCTCTATGCAGGTTAGGGTCGTTGAAGAGGGACGAAGGAATGAACGGTTGTACAGTTGGATACGCAGAAGGGGATGTGCTAATTATGCGGCTATTCCGTTGTGTGCATGTCCTGATGGTGATTTGTTGGAGGTGGAATTTTTTTTTATTCGACTGATATGCCCAGCACTTAACACTCCTGATAAGAGGAAACAGACGAAAAGGAAGCGACCAGGGTGTTAGGAGAGAAGAAGGCGGAGGGAAGGTAGACCTTACCGTGGTTCGAGGCAGCTAATTAACAACCGAAGTTTTGTGTGTTTCCATTCTAGTTCGGGTGATGTGTCGCGGAGCTTGTTGACGATCCTGGGGAGGTGTAGCGAGCGTAATTTATGGGGTTTTCGAGTTGTGTGCACGGGAGGTGACGTGTTAATTGACAGATGGAAGATTGTGAGATGGGTATTTGGAGGTAGTTTAGTTTCTAGCATCTTCGGTCGAACTCAGACATGCTTGAGGTTGGTTGCAGGGTGGTGTATGCTTTAAGGTGGAACGTGTGATACCATTTCTGTGCAAATCTTTGGTGTATAAGGAACCGTTTGCTGGTTTCCTAAGTAATCCATCGAGTCGGCGTCGTATGTTTTTATGGAACTTTGAGCAAGTGATTTTTGCTTATACTGTTATTCGAACATTTAGTGAGAAGCGTACAAGGTCAAGACTGAGAGCTCTGCTATCTATGAACATTAGGACACGGTCTCATGTCCAAGTCTCACAGAGGTTGGTAATTCGAGTTACGTATGATGACCGCTTGTGTAAGGTGCAGGTGCGGACGCTGTGTTCCCGGATTTTGTCCACTTTGGAGGTCAATGTTGCCTGGAAACTAATGTAGATTCGTATATTGTGGGTAAGCTGGTGTCGCAATAAGACCATTGGTGATTGTATTCATAATTTTCGCAAATATGCAAGGTGTAGTGAGTTTCCATGCGGGTGCGAGAAGATAGATCATCGATTTCCACGAGTGAATGGTCATGTGGCTCTACGATTGAACGACTGTGAGTTGGTGCCAACCCGGATGAAGAATTCCAGGAATATTGTGCGACCGTCGAGGTCCTTTTCCACCTCACGCTTGAAACAATAGATTTTGTCTTCTTTTTCCTCCCATTCGTCCTTGTTTCCTGTTACTAGGGATATGATAACCAACTCTGCTGTTAACGAATGTTTTTCTTCCTTGCGTGATACTATCACGTATGATTCTCTGTCTTTCTCTGTTTTTTCATTTACGACCCATGGAGGTTTTCTGTCTCACGATGATGTTGAACCTTTTGTTGACCTGTTGGAAGGACTGGTGTGTGCGCCTATCGATCACAATTATGGTGATACCTTTGCTTGTTGTCTGGTAGTTTATGGGCAGGGGATGAGTAAGTTGTTTTTCGGTAATCCGGCGTTTGAAGTTTGCTGTGAAAACGAGGATGAGGTGTTACGTTGTTCCAAAATCGAATATGAGAGTCGGCATCTTCGAGGTGTAGGTGCTTGGAAGTTGGAAGGACTCGGGAGAACTTGGTAAGGCTTACTGTATGCCGAAGCACAAGGATGTGGAGCGTTGGAGACCGATTTGTCCTTCGTATCAGGAATGCGCCGCCTCTGGGGGGAAAGTTGTTTCCAAAGGGGTCAATGTTATGTTGTGGAACCTTCCTAGTAGGTCTATCTGAACTTAAGATGTGCTGACGATTTGTTGAAGGCGACGAAGGAAGTCAATCAGGTTTTGATTGGCGATGATTTGTTGGTAGGTGCATCCTTCGACATTAAAGAGACGTTCTCTAATTTACCGCATGCTTCAATCTTGCGGTCTCTTGAATGGGTTATTGATTTTTGGAAATTGGAAGGTATTGAGGCGGTTGCTATTAAGAAGCGGGTTAAGGGTGCTAAGTTGGTCAAAGGCAGAGTTGAGCAGGAGTCGAAAAGGTTGGATTTCGATCACATTCTTGCTTTTGTCAAATTTGAGTTAGATTTTACCCACGTTTGTGCTGCAGGGAGAATCCTGCGACAAACCGTGGGGATCCCGATGGAAAAATCAACCAGCCCATCTTTGGCATGTTTGTTTTGTCCATATAATGAGTTTGTGTGCCTGTCTTCCCTGGGCAATAATCGCAAGTTGATCTCAGGTTTTAGATTGGTTGATGATATCTCAGTTTTCATTTGGTGCAAAGGAAGTGACTCAGGGTCTCAGATCAAAGCCCTTGATATCATCGACGATTTCAAACGTTGCTATGATGAGAATTTGATACTGGAGAA